ACATCCTCTTCTTTGTTTCTGTATTTAATCGCAAGACAACAAAAATCCATGTACAAAGTATTCACTCTGACTAACAAATTAAGTTTTATAAGCCGTTAAAATCCATTCAAATTTTTGATTGTAATATCTTATTTTTCTTACCTATCACGAGTCTGTCAGTTTTTTTTGTTTTTGTTTTATTTTGTTTTAAATTATCGATATATTAAAGGAAGTCCAATATTTTAGACTACAATGGACTACGTGGACTCTTCACGGGTACCTTTAAAACATTAACCCTTGAAAGAATTTTTTCAGATGTGTTTACAATGGGAACGTCTTTAAAATGGAAGAAATCACCCAAATATTTATTCCAATCTAGTTTTCTCGTGTAGTCTAGTCTCGTCTCCTCTCATTAAATTCACACCCCGAGGATGATCATTCCTGATGACTCTGTCTAATTCTTATAATTAATAGCGGGGATAGACCAAGAGAAGGAGAAGTTCTATTATCCCTAATAAACAACATCACTCCAGGTTATTCTTCCGAATTAATATGAAACAAAAAATAATAGCTTTTGCCAGGCGTCATTTTTTCCAATGCACAAGAAGTTAATAGGATCTAATTGTCTTTATATCAATCACCAACATTGTCTTTAAGATAAGTTGTTTACGTAATGGCGTGGGTGCTGAATCAATGAACATATAAACAATACTAAGATATTAGCATATACCAACTAAAATGGGAAAAAAGGCTCGAAGCTGATAGAAGTTTTTAGGAGAATTTTATACATGCATTAATAAAATACCTTGTGCAATGGCTTGTTTAATGTCCTCTGCATCATCAAGAGTCTGTTGAAAGAAAACGTGCAGAGTAAAACTTGTGTCCGTCTTTTTTAATAAATGACTGTCTGTTCAGATGAATGACTGTCTGTCCAGATAAATGTCTGTCTGTCCAGATGAATGACTGTCTGTCCAGATAAATGTCTGTCTTTCCAGATAAATGACTGGCCAGATGAATGACTGTCCAGATATATGACTGTCTGTCCAGATGAATGACTGGCTGTCCAGATGAATGACTGTCTGTCCAGATAAATGTCTGTCTGTCCAGATGAATGACTTTCTGTCAAGAAGTTTCTCACCTGTTCTAAGTCAAGCATCACTTTATCCACATCCTCTGCCCTGAGGTCTTCTTGTATTGTCTTAAGAGCAATGGAACCTGACTTGAGAGTATCAATGATCTAGGGAGAAGACAAAGTTTATGTAATACAATATAAAGAAACTTATACTATACTTATACTATATAAGATCTCATATTTCCATTCTCTATTTCCCATTCTTCCAATTCTATTCAATCCCTTCCCTTCTTCACCTCTTGGTCTTTCCCATGCACAAAAATGACAAAATATTAATATTTCATTATTGTCATTTTTGTTTCTCCCATTTTTTTAACTCTCATTTTCTTTCATTTACATTCATTTTTTTTTCATTTTCTTTCTCTCATTTCTGCTTTCTTTTTTATTTTCTCCCTTATGTTCTAGCTCCCCTCTTCTCCCATGGCTTTGGGGCTTATCCCACTCCTTGTCCTATCCCTATTCCTTCTTTCTTTTCCTTTCACTATTATTTTATTCTCACTTTAACTCTTGATCTTAGTCACCAAACAAACTCTCCAGCTCAGTAGTCTGTGCTTACCATTTTGTCAGTATTTGCTTGTTGTATTCTGTGCAGCAACTCTTCCAATGTATGTAGACTTCCATGCATTTTATCCAAGGTCTTCTGAATACTTGCCTTTTTCTTGAGTACTGTAAGTGCCTGAAAAGCAAATACATTTAACACTTGGATCAAAATGGTAGAGTGCAAACTATAAATCTGTGAAAAAGTGCTAATTAGTACGAAATAAAACCAATGAAACAATTGAAAACAAGAAAACAAAAAAAACAAAAAAAAAAGAAAATGTTTTAGGTGTTATTTTATTTTTGTGTTATTTCACAGATATATGGTTTGCACTCTAACTGCATAACGATATCAATAAAATTTACAAAATGAAAAAGCACAAATAAATAATGATAATATGCGAGGAACTGCATGAAAGATTTAAAGGGGAAGAATAGCAGACAAACAACAAATAACAAATAACAGCCATGAATATAAATAATGCTTCCAAGTCAAGATGGTACTTGAAAAAATACATTAAATATACATTAAAATATACATTAAAAATGTATAGAGTGCACGTACTAAAACCGTGAACATTAAATAGTACTAATTAGTACTATTTCATACAGAATCCTTTGTTTTCTATTGTTTAATTATCACTATTTAGTGCTAAAAATTAGTATTTGTTTCACAGATTTAGTGTGAGCACTCTATTGAATATACATTAAGGTGGCTCCCTACTTTTGAACGTTCGATTTGAGCCCACGATGAGCGCGCGCTGAAAAACCGCTGAAAAATCTACAAGATTTTATTGAAGAACCATACACGTTTTCAGCTTCAACAGGGCAAAACCCTCAAATTTTGCACAGGACTCTATATTTTTTGATAGCTCATTTGAAAAAACTCCTAAAAATCTAGGTTATATCAACATTTTGGGAAAAGTTTAAATCAGGAACACGTGAAAAAATAGATTTTTGTAGGGATTTTTGTTCGTCTTTATGAGCTTTTTTAAGAGCACCGAAACTACAAAATATGACAAATCAATGTATCTCTCTGTCTTTTTGTCGAAAATATCCATTTATTATTGTAGAAGGATTGACTAGCCTCCGTTCGTGCAATCATAGAGTCTGCAAATAACTATTATCTTATTAATCTTAATTCTTTTTCTAATCACTTCCGGTGGCGCAACTTTTACTCCAAAAGCTCGTGCGTAGGCTTCCATTAAATGCTGATTATCTCGAAAATGAGCTTGGGACACCCTATTTTTCTTTCCAGATTTGGAATCAGCATTAAATTTCAATTTGGAAAATCGAAATTTTAAAAAAAGCTTAAATCAATTTTCAAAAGTAGGCAGTCACCTTAAATATACAAAAAAATTGACTTGAAGTGGCACACTTTTTTTTATTTATTTCATTATTTATTAGCTTTACTAGTTATTGGAAAATAGAAACAAACCAGTTGAAGGAAAGATTAACAGGACAATATTCAAATCTTGAGAATTGATAGGAAAGGACATGATGTCACAGCGCGTCAAAAAGCGAGCGAAAAGACGCCTTTCGCTTTGTAACATTTGATGTGATTGGTTTATTTCTGACCAATCAGATTTTCGCTTACATTACAATGGCCTGCTTGCAAGAACAGTTTATGAGAAACGTTTTGATTTTGTTAGCGATGTAAAATAACACAAACAACATAAAATAATTGGAATTTTATGGTTTTGAAAGTCGAGTCTCACAAGAAATGGTCAGCTTCGGGGATTATTCGGGAGATTTGAGACTCTAATCTGGAGACCGGGAGACACGGTCCAAAATCTGGAGACTCCCCGTTTATCCGGGAGAGTTGACAGCTCTGATACCAATAAAGATTCCCATATTATTATTTTTCCATTATTTATTTCATTATTTATTAGCTTTACAACTAGTTATTGGAAAATAAAAACAAACTAGTTGAAGGAAAGAATGACAGGACAATATTCCGATAAAAAAGATTCCTATATAAAGTTCCTTCAAAATAAATGTTTCGCAATAGTAAATACTGATGAAACATGGGCATTCAAGGAAATTTGAGGAAGGTCTTCGGCATAAATTTTAAGTACTGGAAAGTCAGTTAATTTTAAGGTAATATTAATTAGTCTTTTGGTCAGGGAAAGATATCTTAAAAATTGAATTACTTACTGATTTTCTAAGCCCTTTACTCGAAAACTCTTTAGCCTTCTGCTTGCAACTAAAATAACAAAATAAATATATCTGTGCTAATTATATCAAGTACAAATTATGGACACTAAATATAAAGGTTATTTATCAGCTGATATGTCAATTACCTTTCGCTGGTTTTCTCCAACTTGTTTATTTCTAATGTCAATGACGCCATGGTTTTCTTAATCCTTATTTAAATATGTAAGAAAATTACATTATTTAATCATTGTGAGAATCAGTATGATGTTTCTCTGTCCATTTTTATTATTGTTATTATTAAATCACAAAAAAGAGATTTTCATTTTTAGTCTAACCTTAATATTCCAAGGTCTTTCTCACTCACAGTGCTTACGGTACTCTCATCTTTACCTACAAACTTGATAACCTACAATAAAAAAGACAAATGATGATGATGTCCATCTGTATGTCTGTCTAGCTAGCTAGCATGTACATGAAACTGAGAGAGGGTGGTCAAAACCTGCACATTACAGGTGGATATAGGTAAAACTTTTTAAGAGGGACCCCAGTCCTACACATCGTTTAGTGCGTTTACCACCCTAGATGGATGGCTGGATGCCTAACAGGCCTAGCGGCCCAACTGATAAGGCAGCCAGTTAGCACGGGCACTGAAGATGGTCATCACCAGCGTCTTCAGTGGATCTTTAATGTTCGCCTTAAACAGGGTTACATAGTGAAGACAGACGGGGCCTACGGTTTTAAGTCCTTGTCCGAGAAGACCTGAAGGTCTTTGCAGATATAATTACAAAGGCAGCACCTTCTCCTCAGTTATTTAAAGACCCTGAGTGTTGGTCCGGCCGAGGCTTGAACCACAACCTCCCTCACTACAGACCGACGCTCTTACCAACTGAGCTAACCGGGTGGCGGTGTAACCTGTATTGCAACAAATTGTAATACAGAGGGCTAGAGCTAGTAAAAAGTGCCTTTATAGTATAGGCAGTGTAAAATATATCAAATCATATCAAATTTCAAGTCTTTGATTTACTGCAGCTTTCAATATTCTGCATTACTCGGCAGTTCCAAGCTGCACACTGAAATTGTTTTTTTGCTGCCATCAATCAAAGATAATAAGTCGGTACGCAACCCCTTATATTATTCACTTGTGGTAGTAAAAACCAATTTCCCAACAAGCCGTTGAAATGTCGGAGTTCACAGAATATCGAAAACAGCAGGAACTGTGGAGGCAATTCCTTCACTAGGTCCCTGTTAAAGCATGATGAGTCACTGGCTTATGTTACTACCTTTTCTCCTTCATTTGTTACATGTGCTGTAACCTTCCTCTCCTTTTGAAGGTAACAAATAACCAAATCCAAATCTCCATCAGCCAGTTTCAGCCCTCCTCTATTACATCTAGCCTTCAGAACATTCCAAGGGATTATATGGTCTGTCGCTTCATATTCCACACTTTCACGGTGCATTTTTAGTAATGACTGAGACTTGTTCTGGTTTTATAATGGTATCAATATTTCAATGAAAAGTTAAAGTGAAAATGGTCCATTATTCTAATATTACTTTATTCATGTACATAGTTTACTAAGCATAATTAACAGCTATTTTGTAAAAGGTTGGTGAAGATTTTTCTATTGTGTACATATGGTATTCCTATATTTATTAGTGTCAATACAAAAGAAAATATGCTGGAAAAACGTGCAAACTTTTGAACTTTGTTGCATGATTGCAATCAATTGTGTACTAAGGTAATCGTGTACTTCATGACCAGCCGACATGTGTCGGTCGACTATCGCCCGAGTCGCCTGACTGTTGACCAACACTTGCCTACGTATAGTTTTGCCTACAGACTGAGGTATCTTATCAAATACTGCATAGTGCATTTCATCGAAAACTTCTACCCACCTTTAAAAAAAAATAGCTGTATGGGATTGCAGACATAAGGAGAGAATTGAAGTCCCTCCTCTTTCTCTTCCCTATCTCAACATTAATTTAACCTTCAGCACAATAAATATTACCGATGTACAATATACCAAATACGGATGTCTGGCGTTTTGGCTTGCATCAATCAATGACGGGCCGAGTACAATCCAATCATGAGTGAAAATTACCCCAACAGCTGGATAGCCTATTTCCCATGGCAAAATGGCTGCAGAGTAAGGGGAATATTTTATCGCTGGTGATTGGAATGACTAGGGTAGGAATGCACCGGGCCTTTCGTCAATTTGATTGACAACTGAAGCCAAAAACATCTGGATCGAGTCAGTTAGGTCTCAGAAACATGAAAGGGGCTGTAACTACTTTATCTAGTATCAAACAGCCTACTTACCTTTAAAACTTCGGTTATAATAAACAATTCCGTCCCTTCCATTTTTGCTTTTGTATCGTTTCCCCACAACAACTTTCCAACTGTCCATGAAAATGATTTCTTAGCAATATCAAAACCCCAAGAAAACCAAGTATTATTCAGTCCTTTCATAAAACTATCAAGCGTGTGTAAGTCTCCTGTCTTTAGCATTTCTTCCAAGACAGTTTCAAGTCCTAAAGGAACTAAACCATTTCTTGTGAATCTTCTTCGCAAAGTTTCAAAGTCCACACAAAGTTCGTGATTGTGATCGCAGTTTTCTAAGATTAATTTTCGCCAGAATTGAAGCTTACTATCCCAGTGTTTAGGATTGACATGTCTGTGTTCTGGGAATGCTGAAAACATAAAATTCATGCGATCATCGTCGTGCCAGTCGGATGGAAGACGTTTGTTTGTGTCCGCCATCTTGTAAACTGGTGAAAGAAACCAAAGGAATCCCAATATCAAAATATAAAAAGTTATCAAGAAAATACTTAGTGGGAGAGGGGATAGTGGGGAGGGACGCATGGAGAGATTTCAATCCTCTCATTATCTGCTCCAAACGGTTGTCAAACACTGACCGCCGTATGCTGTCATCCAGGAATAATGCTAAATGAAAACTTGTGATTAATTTTACGAACATTCCACATTTGAACCATCTTCCAAAATGTTTTGCAGGAAATTATAACATTGGTCAAGGCTGTCTTGACAGAACGGGAAAATAGATGCAGTAACTTAGAGAGCAAAGGCAAAGTCATTTGAAAAAGAATCCTAAGGTAAGGAGTAAGGAGGAGTAGAGCTGACACTATACTCTGTGTGTGTGTGGTGGATTATTCCCATGGTTGAAAATTAATAAATTTAACCCCTAAAAGAGAAATTTTGGGTGTGGTTTATAGCAGGGCAGAGCACACAAAAATATAATTCCCATTATAGAATATTACGATAGTTATTTTTATTGAAAAATGCATTTTATAAAACAGCTTACATCACCAAAGAGAATGAAAATACAACTATCTTAATTCTCTTCAAATTACTGTTTGTATACAATGTTAATATCTCCTGTTCAAATCTAGAATGACTTCTAACTTGTGCAAAAACATATTCATTTGAGTTTTATAATTATTTATTGCAGATTATTGGATAATTTCTGAACGCAACTTGATTGTCTTGTATGTAACATGTCACCACGCAGTCTGTCTTCAGGCTTTAAATCCCCATATCCTCAAACAACAATCCTGGGCACCAGATACTAGGGTAGTGTTATCAAGCCATGCGACACAGGTTACAGGACTCTGAGGGTGAGCAACTAAAACAAATAAAATATAAATGTGAACCTAAGCAAAAAATTCTTTCCATTTCCTTCCAGCTTGCAGCCTTATATTTTCAGTAAGTTTAGCTCATTCTGAAAGAGCCTCATTGCATTGCTTCTCAATTACACTTTATACCAATAATTGCAGTATGATTTGCCATTGCAATGAAGTAGGCTTAAGTGGACATCAATCAAGGTATGTCTATGTCATTCCATATAGTACATGTCCTTGAAAGCTTTGTGTTTTCCGAACATGTCATGGAAAAACTTTGATTGACATCCACCAAAACTTTTTTTGTCGTGGCAGAAAATGGCACGATTTTGTGTGTTATTGAGAAGTGCTTAAATCAACTTCTCATGCTTACAGTACAATTGTCATACAAGTCTCACACCAAGGTCTCATACCATTGGCCATCCCTTACAAATCATTGGGATGGCCAAACAAAGAAGTCTTTCAGTGCTTTTTGTACGTAGTACTTACATTTGATGCTCATTGCCTTTTTCTTGGGTTCTTCTGGTTTGTAGATGAAAATATGTGAGTCCAATCCTCCAGTGGCCATGAATTTAGAGTCCGGTGACCAGGCAAGGGAGAATATTTTTGCAGCATGTCCGTACCACTCTCCACTAATATCCTATAGACAAAAAAAGAAACAGTTGGTTTCCATGTACATGTACATCGATCATCATCATAAGGTGATTGCACTTAATTGTAGTCTCTTATGCAGCCGTTATTAGTGTTGTCACGCAATGCTTACTCCCCAAAGTAGGGAGTAAGTGTTGCGTGACAACACTAATAGTGGCTGTGTAGGAGACTACTTAATTGTGACTTGATGGATTGATGGTGTTGGTTCAAGGCACAATATGAGATTAGTATGGGAAAAGGAAAGAGGTGGGGAGGGGGGCTGTAGCACCCCCTACCCCAACCCCTCCGCAGCCCCTGATAGATAAATCGCTTATTAAGAAATTTGCCTTGCATTTGTAAAACTAAAACTCTTGCATTGTTCCAGCAAATAGAAAAATGGTTAACCTTTTTGCGTGTTATGCATGAATGTATTTGAAAAGTTGTTAAGCAGTCAAATAAGGTGTAGGTAATATGGATGCTCAGCTTAGGGTTTTTCTAAACCTCAATTTAGTTACGATATTGTCAACTTTTTTGATTATCCAAATTCTCTCCCAGAGAAAATAAATAATATGGAAGTCTCCTGAGAATTTACCCCATAATTAATTATCCACTACATTTATATCATAGCATATCATGATGAATATCATTTAGGCCAGTACCTTGTAGTCACTAGTAGTTAAGCAGTAGCTCTTCTTGCTATCATTAGAGATACCCAAGTATGCTCCATCAGGTGAATAGCCAACAAGAAGCACCCCACTGCCACCCTCAACATTTGCTTTTGTCTTCTCTACCAGGGTATCGTTCTCAAGGGTGTAGATGTAAGCACATCTTTCCTATAAAGAAAACAGAGACAAGATATGTTAGGGTGAGATATAGAATATCTGCAATACTAATGGTAGGTTTTGTTTGGACTTTTTTTGTTCTTTTAGATTTATTTTCAGGGTTTCTAGACATTTCCTCTGAAAGAATTACCCAGATTTTCTTTTCAAAATTTAAGTTTGATATTGAGACACACACACACACATACACAAAAATAAACTTTTTTTCCATATGTACAGGACAATATTTAGTGCTAATCCAAAAATGTCTATAAAGATAAAATGATCTGATACTGTTGATCATTGTTAAACCTACACTTATCAGCTGTCTGTGGTCAGATTATATAATGCCATTTGAAGGTAAAATATCAGATGTTGATTGATCAATAAACACATGCATATTCACATGGCATCCCTAATGACAGCATTAGAGCATCTACAGTGTAAGCCCATCCTCATCATTACCGATAGGTTTAATGGACCAATAAATAATTGGCCAATAAATGCTTGCATAAATGCATAAATGTTGACCAGTTGTGGATTGCCATCAAGGTTAGAAAACAGATCATTTGTACCTTAATCCTACCCCTGTAAGTCTTCATACTTACAAATTTAGCACCAATAGCAACTTCATTTTGTCCAGGGTGGATAGAGGCACCACTTGGCTCGTAGTGAACTTTAAGCCTGGAAACAATCCTCTTGTTACGGATCACTACAACCTGTAAGTGTAGCAAATTGTTTTGTAATTTAAATAAATGACAGGCATTTAAAGATGGTAACATAGGTAAGCTGTAATAGTAACAGTAAAGGGTAAAAGTACAAATGAAATTAATAGAGATCACATGTTAAGAGCTTGATATTGTTTTCATACACAAGTTTGAATATCATATCGTGAATGAGTGAGTCTGCAAGTGAGTGAGCGATATGATATGGGAAATGAGTGAATAAAAAAAATATTAGGCTCTTAACATGTAATAAGTTTTTATTACAAATTTAGGGTCTATAAAATGACAAAATATACAATTTCCAGTTCACGGTGAAGTGATATTGTATCCTTTCATTGATATGGTTTTTATTAACGGCTTTATCCACGGATAACAACCCTAAATGTTTTATTAACGGCTTTATCCACGGATAACGACCCTAAATGTGTAATAAAGATTGGTATCAGTTACATGTATAGAATGTCACTAGCAGCAATATACAAAAACTTCTTATCAAAAAAAAAAGAAAGATTGTATTACCTCCTCAACTAATGGTACAACAACAAGACCATCTTTTCCAAGACCAAGTCCTTGGGGCTGACCATCCAGTGATACTACATCTGACCTGGAAAAACACAAATGATTTCAAAAAATAACTTTTCAAAAGTTTTATTCTCCCACCAATCAATGCCTCAACAACAATGATAAAATTAACATATTTGCAACCATATAGAATCGAGTTTCTAAATACTGATGTAAAAATGTTTCTGGTGTTGTAGCAAAACTAATTTGAGAGGCTGCAGAAAACTTTCAAAACCTTCAATTTTATTCAAACATTAAATAAAAACATCTCAGTTGATCTAAGTCAGGGCATGGGTGAACTCACAAATCAAACCCTGAAACAACATCTGGGCTGTGCATGACTTAAACTCACAAATCAAACCCTGAAACAACATCTGGGCTGTGCATGACTTAAGTCACAGATCAAACTGTAAGTTAAATTGTTGGGTTTTGCTAAGGAAAGAAAACTGGAGAACTCAGAGAAAAGCCTTTAAATCAGAGGAGAAACTCAACAAACTCTATTCTCATTATTCCTATAGACCTTGGGATTGAACCAGAGACCCCAGAGGTGAGTGCTCATAACCCTAGATTACTAAAACAATACAAATATCTTACCCAAATGTCTCAGTCTCAAGGCTGGTAAATCTTATTGTGTCATCAAGACCACAGGTGACCAGGTTTTCTTCATCAACTGCCATATATCTGATCTCATTTGTGTGTCCTTTACCCTTGAATACTCTACCATTACCATCGGCATCCCAGCTGACTGGAAAGGAGTTAAGGATGACTTGAGGGCAAAATAATTTAGAACTAATGTCAAAAAATTAGTGAGTGGCTGACTGCTTGCCGGTTATTGAATGTGTGGGTGGTTAAGTGAGTGAATGGCTAGATGCCCAATAATTGATTGACACAGAGGTTGTGCATGTGGGGATGTTAGGTAGACACCCTTATGACTATGATATCACTAGAGAAGCATGGGTGGCATTGGGATGAGAGCACTTGTCTCTTGAGTTCACCAATGCGACCCGGGACTGATTTTTGGACTGTGTCATATGTGAGTAAAGTTCCTAGTTCTATGCCATGCTTCAATGGTTCTTCTCCCTCCAGGTTCTCTGGTTTTCCTCCTACGAAAAAATCAACTCTAAAATTCCAATTTGATCAAAGAACAAGAACAACAAAACCACCAAAAGTTGAGAAAATATCTTGGTGGTCTAATTTGATTGAGAACGTCTCAAAAAGACAACAGCATTAATCTCAAGGATACTTATTCTGCCATCAAAGCTGGCTGAGTAGATCCTCTTTTTTTCTATGGAGGTTGCAACTGCACTGATATTTTGGTAGTGGCCCTGAAAGCATTACAGAAAAGAGTTCATAGTGAGCGTAAAAATAGTACGGCACAGTATATAATGGTTTTGTAGTGGTAGTGCATGTGGGCGAAGTGTCCCCAATTAGTGTGAAAGCGCTAGAACGACTAGAATCACTGTATCGACATTGATCAGTGAGTTAGGGCTTGATCAATGAGTCAAAGATTGTCATAACATCTGGACATACCATAATAATCTTCTTGGGTGTGTCAGGGTTTTCCCGGTCCAGGTAGTTAAGGTAACCAGATAGGGATACTGAAATAAGGTTTTCACCCTGCCACAAGCATCCAACCTGCATGTCTTCTAGGTCTGAGCCAAACTTGAATGTCCTAGTTAAACGAATAAAGCTGTCAGGTTTGACATCATTTCCTGGTCAAGACAAGTGTACTGTATGTTGTTGATGACAATGATGATTATGATAGTATTGATGATGACAATGACAATGGTAACGATGGCGATGATGATAATAATGGTGATTATAATGGTACTGATGGTGATGAAGGTGATGAAGGTGTTGATGATGATGATAATGGTGATGATAATGATACTGTCTAGTTGTTATCAACAAATTCTTTCATACGTGGTGAGGGTTCGGTCAGGCACATTCCAAATTTTGCAGGTACGATCTGCAGAGGCAGTTAAGAATTGATTTCCATCAGGGCTAAAAGATACCTAGGATAACAAGATAGTATAAAGTATGAACATAAAATACGACTATATGACTAAATGATTAGTTAGAAAACACATGCATCCATCAAATACCCTTTCAAGTAATCAGAAGTAAAGATTTATTGATAAAATTGAAATATGAGATATACTTACTCCATAAACCCCTCCTTTGTGGGCCTTTCCATTGGGTTCACTCTTACCAAATTCATCAACCACCGTGCCCTCTTTTCCATCATATAACACTACCTGTTTCAAAAACAATTAGTGCATGAGTGTCTTCTTCTACATGTACACTTAAGGTACGTAGATGTTCTCTGTCCAAATCACTGCATAACTCACCTTTCCATCAGCTCCACCAGAAACAAATACACTACCATCAGGAGAGTACTTCACACAGTTGACAAAGTTGGTGTGTTCCTGATATAGTCAAAAATATAGTTAATATGACTTCGTTTAAAGAAACTGAGCATTGAATCCATGAAGCAGATATCAGTCGGGAAGAAATCAGAAGACATTGATTCTATAACTGTGCTCTTTCCTTTCATTTAGCTAAGCTAAGAGAACTCTTGGAAAGCATGCGTTTTGTGAGCTGCAAATGTGATGCCTTTCGATGTTGTGGCCGTTTGGCTTGATCCCTGTACACACCATCAATAAATGATGTTAGTAGAGTTGCTCATTTGTTTTCTCTCGACTTGTGCCACAGATTTATAAGCCACTGGCCATCCTTGTTTTATGAAGATAGCACTGGATACCCAGTAGCTAAGAAACCTGTGGCTTTCATTCCATGATCAATTTGGAATTGGTATATAAAAATACCGACGACAAAATTAACCTTCATTCCATGATCAATTTGGAAATTATTTAGAAGTTGATTGAGGGAGGAAAACTGGAGAACCAGGGCCAGAATATATGAGCAACTCTACTCACATGATGGTGAGTCTGGTGATCAATCCCAAACACAGCACAGCAGTGAGAGGGGGGAGCATGAGCAACATGTCTTACCCATTTTATACTAGAACCCCATGCATTGTATACTAACTGAATTTCTGTGCTTGAATTTGAATGGTGGTCCTTCGTAGAAGTTGACTGCAAAATCCTCACTGGCTGTACAAATACGGTAAGGTCGTGATGATTTGTAATCGACAGCATTAATCTGTTTCATGTGCTGTTCAATAGTTCCCACATTAGATCCACTGTCCCACAAGAACACAGCACCATACCTGAAACATGGAAAGTTCAAGGTAATCTTAGTTTCAAATGTTCTGTTCTTGCTTCTATAGCCTGTGTACTGTACAACTATATATTGACTGGTGATTTTACTTGCACAAATCATACTGGAATCAAGTGTTGCCTCTCACAATTGTAATTGTGTCAATTGTAGCAATCTAGGTTAGAGGAGTGTTGATCACATTATAGGGCTTCTTGTATGCTGGTCAAAGACAAAGATGCTGCCTGCATGCAGTATCATGAAAGATGGCGGAGGATAAAGATATTTTTGACAAGACAACTTTTCTTCATGCTTGGATCATAAGCAAAAATCTGGTCCATATCACCAAAGGTACATTGTAATTGGAACTGAATTTATGAAATATTACCTACTACTACTACTAATAAAATAATATTATCTATAAAACTCGTACTTTTCATTTCCATCTCCGACAGTGACAATCCTCTTACTATCAGGCGACCATGCGAGGTCCTTGATTGCTCTTCCAAGCGGCTGATATTCATACTTTAAGATATGTTCCTTTTGGGTGGTGTCCCAAATACGCAGTTTCCCAGAAATATCTGAAATAATCATAGTAAATCATTATTGATTAAATATAGTTTTGCCAAAGTAAATTCCGACGTAGGAAAGAATTTGGTGGCTTTTTTGCTTTGAATTTATGAAAATAATGACAAAATAATTTTTCAATAATTTATTTTTCTGATCGGTCGAGGAGGTTTTTGAGAAAACACAGCATGGACAAGAGTTTCTAAAGAGCAGTTATCTTAATCTATACATACTTTTGAAGAATTAGGTAAAACTTGCTTGCTGTGCTGTGTGCAGTTATAATATAAGAAGCTGAGGATTAGGATAACACTCAAGGAGTGTAATAAGAAGCATTCTGCTGTATCATATATCATTCTCTAAAACTTCTCTCTTCTTCCGTCACTCCTCGCTTTATAACTACACAGAACATGTGCTTATGTTCTTTATTTATTTAACAAGTGGCTTCAACTTACCACCAGATGCAATGTAAAATCCACTTGGAGCATAAACAGCTATTGTCGTGTCCTTGGCATGTTGGGAATACACATCACATTCAGTTGGGTTCTAAGTATTAAAAGCATAAAGTTATAATTTTAACACGTCATCGTATTAATCATTGCATGACAAACATAAAGTATAATGCTGAATAGCAAAGTGTACTAAATCCCTACCTGGGGGCCAAAGGAAAAGAATTTACATAAGAAAGATTTTAATCCTCAAGAGTAAATGAGTCCATTTTTAAAGAACACAACAGGGTTTTACAAACTTGACAAAAGACTTTATTGAGTCAGTGAAGCAACAAGCCGCAGTTTTTCACTCATGACCTTTATTCTGGGCTACCATAACAACCAATACCTTGACACATGCCTGCATGTCTCAATGTTATTATTCAAAATGTATCACTTCTAATAAATATAGTAATGGCTATAAGTGGCTTTTAAAAGCAGAGGGTGCCTGTCTATTAATTGTTAGTTATTGGTTGAAAAATATAAATGATTATCAATTAATCGTTAATATCCTAAATCCTAATCATATCACTCTTCGCGCTAGAAAGTGCATAAGGCTGTCACATCATTTTCTACAACAGCATGAATATTTAAATTCATCACAGAACAATAAACAAATAAAGTCATTTCAAAATTTGATTTCAAAACCCAACCACAGCAAGCTTACACCATATTTGGTCAAGCGTACATCTGTCCAGAAAATCGAGCAGTACCTTGTTCGTTTTCAACGTTTTAACGAAGATATAAATTAGATACTCCCTGATAATTTGAAAGGAATTATTTTTCGCTGCAAAAAATTGACAACAGCTTCACAGTTCTGCTTTTGCACTATGATGAAGAAAGCATTCGCAGAAAATATGAAACAAATTGGAAAAACCCAAAAAAATAATCACAAAGAATTTAATTCCCTGGAATTTTTAGGCAACTCATGTAAATAGGATGACTAATATAAGTTGTTTCTTATTTTTTATTTGCAATAAATTGAAGGTGTTTTCAATTCAGCGCAGGGTCATTTATTTCCGCAGTAGTTTAATCCTGTAATGTTCAACTAACCTCAATGTCTCGTATAAATACGCTTTTCCCGTTGGTATAGAGGATATTTTTTCCCTTGGGATCACCCTTGAGGACCGTCGGTATACCTCGTTTCACTCTTGGGAGAGAAGCAAACACAGCTTCTGTAAAATAAGGAGAAATATATGGGTTTAACTACAGCAGGAACCTTTCACTTTTCCAATTCAAATGTCACGCAACTTCTCATCAAAATCGTTGAATTCTCCAAAAACCAGCCCTGCGATTGCAGCAAATGCCTTGAAAATTATAAAAAAAGAGTTTCAAAGTATACAATAAGGTTAAAATCACTGACTTACTTCCTTCAAAAGACATATTTTGCAGCTTTCAAAGTTGGATGTGAATCAGAATATTATTCCAACTTGAGAACCGGTCAGTACTCCTCCCTATATATACCCAAGGGACACTGCGGCACTACATGGCCAAATATGGTCACAAAATATGTCCAAAATGAGACTAGATGGGAAATAGATTCTGAACGAATTTATTTTTTTTAAATCATTGCTATTTATAGTTTTTTTTTGTTAAACTTACGTCAGTTGGAGTAACTTTACTTAATTTAACAACAGTTTAAAAAACCTCTCCGTTTTTGTTCCTTTTAAGGCTTGATTCGCCCAAAAGACAAACTTGGTTGACGTCATTAAATAGAGTACTTTAGTAGTCTTAAATAAGTCTTACGTTGTTTCAAAAAAGTTAGTTAAAGTTAGAAATTTCCATTTTTGTATTCAGCAAAATAAAAAGAAAGAAACTGCAAAATAACAAAGAAAGTCGCGTTAATTATTGTCAAAATATCTCATCACATTTGTAAATGTTGCATATTTTCGGCATTGCAAAACGCGGATACCGCAGATACTGTCATGAAATGAATTATAGCTTATCAAATAAATGGTGCCTTAGAATGCAAAAGCAAAGTTACAGTTTTGTTGTAAACCATCGCATAACAAGCGAAGGGCCTCTCATTCTCACGACTGAGGAACATTTCTTATTTCACAATTTCAAACTCCTACTACTTGAATCAGTAATAATTACTAATTATAATTACATTCATAATTACTTTTTTCAATCAAATATGTTTCTGAAGAGTGGTTTTTGCCATGCATCTTTTCAACCAATGAGTTTTTCTTTCAGTTTTTTTTTCGTTTTCTTCTCCTTCCCCTCCCCCCCCCCCCCCCCACTTAGAAATAATTAGCAAGTACAGTAAATCTAAGAGTTTGACTAAGAAAGATGTAATTCGTGCAAAACACATACACACACACGCAAAAGACAGAGATAATTTTTTTTGTAAATTAAAACGTTCATCTTAGCGCATCGGTCATTGTCGCGCGTTTTTTTCATGGGCTTCCTGTGCATCTCGTGGCCATGGTAGTATCCACTGTCCACTGAACCACAGGCTCATCACTAGTTTTCCATGTGAATGATATGAGATGTAGTATTAGTTTTTTCAAAATTATGCCTTAAAATCTCAGATTAACGCCTAAATATCACAAAAAGAAGACTACGTACAACTTTAACATGGACTAAGCCATGGCATTTTGCAATTTTTTAAATTTCAGCCGAGCAAATTTTGCTCAAAGTGGCAAGAAAAGCTTGGGGTCCTCGGTTGCTTGGCTTCAAGCAAATCACTCTCGTAAGTCAGCAATATTTCTGGATAAACATTTTTCTATCTTGAGGTCAAAATATAGTCATTCCTTACTCTTTTATTATTGCAGATTATCGAAGATTTCCATATGCTTACTTAAGGTGAGTTAGTGATAAATATAAATACTCTTTTTAAGGTTTCTTTGTGAAGATTAACCGTGTTGACAAAACATGTTACCATGAAGATTACTAGATCGAATGGTACTCGTTTATATGCTCCTTGAAATGTAAATTGAGCATACTCAAGTTTACATGTATATCAGTATGTTAATCCTGATGGTATAATATCTAAAAGTGTGTCATCTTAAGGATACAGCAGTTACATGTATTCTTAGATGTAGACAAACAATGTGAAGTTATGTGAAACTTACTCTATTCTTGGGGTACAACCACATGACTCAAAATCCCTTTAGGTATGAATAACAATGAAACAGCCGCCATGTTGGTTGATCTAAGAATAGAAGCTTATGGGAAATGCTTTGTTATCGTCAACCAACATGGCGGCTATGGCCTCCGGCTATGATGATGTCACCCCCAAAATATTGCATGGGTTGCAGATGCAATTTGTAACTGTAGAGCCTAGGGGAGGTACTTTCACTGAAATAATACACAAGTCCAGTTTCAAAAAGGCTAATTACTTGTTTCATTCCTTTTTTACAGAAGTTTAGGCTCTGTTCCTTCAGAAAAGAAGCAAGGACAGAAATATCAATATATTAATGAATATCAAAGCCAGAGGTGTAAAACAAAATACTTGGGAAACAATTGGTTCTTTGGTTCTCCTTTTAATCTAGCTTACAGTGAACTGGTTTCACATGGTCAGAGAATACAACTGCCAGACTGGAACAGAAGGGAATCATTTCAAACTCTCAACCAGCAATTTCCAAGCGTACAGTGGAAATTACACACAAATGTAGTACCAAATAGATTTAATTTGAATCAGTGGAACACACAACTAGGTTTTTATAGTTTTCCACATCATTTGCCATCAATCTCTGACAAACGACAAGGAATTTTTCTTTATCCTATTGGTGTTAGAACATTTATCACAAGTTCTGAACTCAAAGAACAAATAAAAACCCCCAAAACAAGTGAAGTTCTGCGTGCTGAAGAAAAATCAAGAGTAGAAGAGACAGTCGAAGCAATCAAGGAAAAGAAACAATTAGTCAAGGATAAGGCATTTCAGTATGGTTGTAGTCCAGAGGATTTGCTTCCCAAAGTTGTAGAGCCAGAAGTCAAAAAGTCTTTATGGGAAAGAGTCAAGCATGAAGCTAAACATTATTATAACGGTTTCAAACTGTTGTATTTTGAAACTAAAATTGGTATCAGACTGCTATGGCAGGTTTTGAATGGGAAAACTCTGACTAGACGGGAGCATAGACAGGTTGGTTAATTGAGGAGGTTTGGGGGGGGGGGGGGGGGGGGGGGGGGGGGTTGATATCTGTCAGTATATTACATATTCTTCAAATTTTATAAATACCTGAATAAATAATAATTGCTGAGCCAGATGTGAAATTTGAAACTCATCCAGTGTTTGACTGTGAGTATGGATTTGGGGAGGGGGGTTAAATGTCATTTAGCATGTTTATTAATACCATGAAACAACTGCTGGGCCAAATGTGACAAATTCAAAACTCATCCTCTTTGACTGTGAGTGTGGATTGGAGGGGGTGGAATAGGGGGTGCAGATCTGACAAGCAAGTGCCCTTCTGTTACCCAAACATTGATTACCTGTTTTAATGTCATGTACTGCATTTACTTTCAGTTTTTACGCACAGCTGCAGACCTCTTTCGGCTGGTTCCTTTCCTCGTATTCCTGGTTATTCCTTTCATGGAGTTCTTACTCCCAGTAGTAATCAAGGTGTTTCCTAATCTCCTACCCAGCACTTTTGAAGACAAGTCAAAAAGAGTAAGTCAGCATTTAATTATTTCGCTTAGCACATGAAGTGATTATACTTGACCTGTGAAGTAGTTTTGGGGGGAACCAAGGGAGAGACCTAACAAAACCTACTCATGAACGTGTGATACCAAGTCTGGGAATCAAACTCAATACCCCAGATGTGAGAGACATTAGCGATTTACCACCCTTGGTTCCCATACGTTAAGTGAAATCACTGATGTTGTCTAAAGTCATGCTCTATAGGAGTTTTGAACCTCTATGTGACGTGTTAGATGACAGGAACAATACAGTTTTACACTAGAAAGGATTCAATTCCCAAGAGCAAAAAGAAATTTTATTGTCTGCCTTCTAACCACAGGCAGCTCAAGCTGCATTATAGGCACCAGCATGTGATGGTGCAAAGCCTCTATTTATCTGTTTTATATTTGTTACTCCTGGCCATGCTGTAGGCGATAATACATGTATCAAGTTGTTTTGTTTTGGTGTTACAGGAAGAGACCCAACGAAAACAGCTAAAAGTCAAAATAGAAATGGCCAAGTTTTTACAGGATACAGTTGAAGAGATGGCCATCACTGCAAAGCAAAGCAAATCACAGAAGGCTGTTGTTGAGTTTGCTAATTTCTTTGAGAAAGTAAGGCTTGTATCATTTATTTGCATTTGTAATAGGTTATAGTAGGGATGACTTCATTTAGCTAGTGCGATGAGTATACATAAAAAATCTGTCCACTCCATGGGTGAGGTGGATGTATATGCTGGGATATTTCCTTGTACAGTACTACATTTTTCTCTTTATGGAAGGGACTGGAAATTTGTGTAGGAAATCAAGTATGACATAATCATATATGGATTTTCAAAAGAATGGGGGGATGGATTCTTTTCAATCTTTACAACTTCCCTTGTGCTCTCTCACATGACCACACAGGGTTCCCAATACCCAATTGTTTTGGGTTCTCAACTGTATCTATCACCTTCTTCTAAATGTGTTCTGAAAGAAAATGTCTTTTCCATTTCATTCTAGATACGCACCAAAGGAGAACAGCCCTCCAATGAGGATATTATTCGATTCTCCAAACTCTTTGAAGATGAAATAACATTAGACAACATGAGTAGAGGACAGCTGAAGGCCATCAACAGGTTACTGTTACTTCAGACTATTGGTACAGATAACTACTTGAGATTCCAGTTGCGCATGAAGCTAAGGCAACTGAGGATGGATGATCTGGTAAGTGGTGTTGAATTATCCCACATGGGTAAACTGCCTACCACAGGCTACACCTTATACTATTTGCTGTGTTCAGCTATCATGTTATTTCCTATCGGGCTGATAAACCCACCTAATGTGTCCTTGAAGTTCATATGAGACTTGGTAGCTCAGTGGTTAGAGCATGGCACCGGAATCGCCAGGGCACGGGTTCAAATCCAGTTCAAGACTCAATTTGCAGCTGCATAAGTTGCTTCATATACTTGCCAGGATCCGCTCAATTTGATGTGTTATTTACTGTCCTTTGATTGTTTTAGATGATCAAGAAGGAAGGAGTTGATGCCCTAACAGTCCAGGAACTGCAGTCAGCCTGCCAGGCTAGAGGCATGAGGGCTATTGGTGTACCTGAGGCAAGACTCAGATCACAGCTAAAACAGGTGAGTTATGTGTCCTAAAAGAGATAAGATAGCGCAAGGTACTTTAAAGAAGGAATGTGGCATACTGTTCTTAGCAGCCATGCACTGGCCTCTCACTGCTGGTTCTCAGGTTCAATTTCTGGACTCGGCATCACATATGAGTAGAATTTGTTACTACTGAATTGGTTATTTCATAGTTCAATCTGTGGGTTAGCCATGCCCCGACTTAGATCAGCCCAGAGGTTGTTTTAGGGTTTGATCTGTGAGTTAGCCATGCCCCGACTTAGATCAGCCCAGAGGTTGTNCGACTTAGATCAGCCCAGAGGTTGTTTTAGGGTTTGATCTGTGAGTTAGCCATGCCCCGACTTAGATCAGCCCAGAGGTTGTTTTAGGGTTTGATAAAACTGATGTTTGAAGAAAGAGAATTCTTCTAGTGTGGAGAGTTTTGACATTAGATATTAAATTAAATTAAATTATTCCTTCATTTTATACATGTATATTATATACTTTTATCTAGTGGCTGGAGCTGCACCTTCAAGAACAAGTGCCCATTTCTCTTCTCTTGATGTCAAGAGCTCTGTACCTACCAGAAAATGTCAGTTCTGTTGAAAAACTCAAGGAAACACTCTCTATACTCCCAGAAATGCTGGTAAGTTTACACCTTAATTTCCATTAGCAGGATTTTTTGGAACTGTTATTTTTCTCACTAAAAAAGCCAGATCTGGAGGGGTTTGTCTGAACTCCCTAAAATCAATGTTGAAACCTCCTACAAGACAACCACAAACCCCGGGGGGGGGGG